CTGAGGCTTGAGTCACATACCACATTCTTCCAAAATAATATTGCCTCATATGACTATTATGAGAATTTGATATTTGATTAATTTGATATTCAAATCACCAGTAGTTTTTACTGGTGATACACAGTAGGTACTATATTAAGTCTTTAACTTGCATTAATTCCTTATCTTGCTTTTCTCCACAATGATAAAAGATCAAATTAATTTCCTTCTTTTCTGGACTCCAACATTATTTGACTGCAATTTAAAAAAATGATAATTTTTTATAGTCATATTTTTCCTAAATCACTTAAAGTCCTGTACCATCATTATGCTTACTGAAGAATGGGATCAATTCTTCCTTTTATTTTTTATTTCCCAATTTATAGAGAAGAGCCAAACACATATTAGTTGTTTAATTAATATGAAGAGGGTAAGTTTTATGATCAGATAATCAACATAATGTAGTTTAAAAGTAACACTGCATATAACCTTGTTTCCCTAATTTGGCAATTATGTAAATGTGAAAAGTCTTATTCATCAGTTTTCTTACCAAAAAATGGACCAAATACACCATTCTACTTTCCTCTGTATTGTTATAACCAGAGTCCTGGGTAAAGGACTATGCAAATAATAGTATATTAGAATTGGTTTGGTTGTCCATTTTCTTGCAAATTAGCAGATTTAGAGAGTTTACAAAGGAAAGGACAATTCTTTAACAGACTATCCTAATGACAATGATTTGAGAAATTTTATCTGCCTAAATTGCAGACTGCCATGATATTCAGTGTAACTACTCTATGCGGGAGCTCTGGTAGCATAGTGGCTAAGGCACTTGACTGCTAACCCACCAGCCACTCCTCGGAAGGAAGATGGGGCAATCTACTTCTGTAGTGATACTGCCTCAGAAACCCAAGGAGGGGTCGCTATAAGTCGGGTCTGACTTGATGGCACATAACAACAACAACAACGACACTCTTTATACATTATAATGATTAAAACTTATATCTCAACTGAATAAACAGGAATTTCAAGTCTCTGGAAAACAATGGATCACCAATCTTCCATTAATACCATGGCTTTGGGGACATCTAGAAATGCTCACATACTGTTTAAGCATCCTGCGAATAATAGAAGGCTCTCTGAGTAATAAACAATTACGTCAAAACACAACTATAAATGCTTTTACTTGAAAATCTCTTAACAATGGTTGACTCCTTATTATAACCTCTGCTTAACCAATCTAAAGTGATAGTAAAATCTGCAAACTGTTCAATTCCTGTTCCACACAGTTGTCAGAATTGAAAGTCGGTGCCTTTTACAATGAGGCCTCTGTTGCTTTCTTTAAATGTATTTAAGAAATATTGACTTGTTTTTTACTACATGTCCTCACTGTGCTGTACAGGTCCTGGCTACTCACTTCTTGAAACATGCACTACTAAACTGTTCTTTCAGTTTTTGCTTGACCTACTCTCTCTGCTTGAAATACAATTTTGTCTCCTTGTCACTTGACAAATCCTTCTACCAGCCATGGTCCAATTCAAATACCAACTCCTTCCTGCAGCCATGTTCCCATAACCTTCTGATGACTTGTCTGTTACTGTAGATTGCTAGAACATCCTGCTGTTTCTCCTCTTACATTGTGTTCTCTTAGAGGGTAAGGTCATTTCTTTTACTTTGGATTCTTCACAGCAGCAGCTTAAAATCTTAAAAATAGCCTTGCTCATTTACCATTCAGTTAGTTCACCTCATTTGCAAAAAAAAAAAAAAAAAAAAGGTGATATGGATGAATTGGATAAAATATTTATGGTCTAATTGATTATTTGGCTTTTTTCAGTGGTAGTTTCAATAATGGATTCATTCCAAATATTTTGCTTAGTTTGTTAAACATGGCTTATGGAAAAGGACAAGAGAAATAGAAGCATTTTTCATTACATGTTTTTTTTGCTTAAATTTAAAAGCAATGACTTATATTTTTTTTTTAGAGAAATGATGTGATTATATTTTTATCTATTTATTCTCTTGGAATGCAGTCCCAAAGCAATATTTTATTTATAACATAATAATTTATATTATATTTAGATTTTACAATGGCTACATATAAGATTTGGCTTAGAGCTTTGTCTATAAAACAAAATCTGTTCATAAAAGTCATCAGTGCAACTAGTTGAAAAGTAAAGAACTTCATTAAGTCATATTTTGGCATCTTAAAAGATGTTAAATATCAACATCAGTGGTATATCATTTTTTTTTTCAGACAATTTGATTAATTTAAGTCTATTTAGTGTTAAAATGCTAAAGTATCCCTTCTTTCTTTTCTTATTCACCTGCATTCATTCACCATTGGCAGGTTTTGATTCCAGGGCAGTTAGCCTAGAGAGTTAACTCCAATCAAAAGCACACTCTATTTCTGTATAAGTTTTTGAATTCCATTTGACTTTCTCATTCTGCTGAAGTAGAATAGATCCTTAAGGTGATGCCTAAAACTCCCTTCAATAGCTGTTATTTGAAACAAAGCAGGCCTTAAAATTGTCCTTACTTGGCTGTCTTCAGGACCTGTTTTAACCTTTCCCTCCCAGAGTTCCAGTGACCTCCCAAAAAGTCCAGAGGGCCCTTCCAAGTTTCTTTTCTCTGCGACACTTCTTTTTCTCCTACTAAAATGTTTTATTTCCCAAGCTTGTTATGTTTCAAATGTAGAAGGGCAACAGGGGAGATGGAAAATTATTTTTCCTTACTCTGTCTTTCCATTGCTATAAAAATGATATTCTCTCCAGCATATGGCCTTGAATCCAGCCAGGAACAAATTGATGCTTGAGGTAACTGGGAGGAATGTAATAAACAATTTCTTTTATACTTGACAGTTTTAAAGATTGAAATATTTTTGAGCATGTACAAATTTCGGTAAATTATTCCAAATATACTACGATTGATAAGTCATACATTAACTTGGAGCTAAGTATTTCTTTTTTTCACCTCTCAGCATGATATTTTGATTTCTGTTTCTACTCTTTAGTTTACTGTCACTATCTAAAAGGAAAGAGCCTAATTATAAATGGTTTGTAACAATATGGATCTGCATGGAGTGGGGGGTCAATTTTGTACTTCTCAGGAATAAAATCTATATATATGCAATGAGGTATATGAGATATTATTAACTGCAACCATTATCAAAATGATTAAATATATTTATTAACACAAATGAATGATATCAACCTTAGGTGGGAAATCTAAGAGACAAAAAGTAGAAGTCATATAATCTTACAAAGTCCTTTCATTTTCCATTAATATTAAAATAAATAGTGGTCTGCTTACATGAAGAAAGACTATCATTCAGTTCAGACATTTATTTTTATATGTATAGTCATTCAAAATGTATGTTTATAGACAATTCTGAAAAGATATATTTTTGGTGGACTAGAAGGTGTCATATTTTCCCAGCCACTCCTCAGAAGGAAGGCAATCTACTTCTGTAGTGATACCTCCTCAGAAACCCAAGGAGGGGTCTCTATGAGTCGGATCTGACTCCATGGCAGTGGTTGTGTTGCATTGCTTTTCAAGATTTATATGGCATATATTTGTTCACAATCTTGAGGAAATTATTAACATAAGATAAAGGAAGAGTAAAAACACAAATTAGAGGAAAATGAATTATTCAACAGGATATAAATATTTTGCTTGTAAAATAACCATTAGTAATTTTAAAAATTTAATATTTAATGAGATGTTGAATAATGCAGTTGGTTGTTGTTTCTTATTTACATAGCCCCTCCCATTCCTTGCAAAGTAAACCAGAAAGAGGAATAATTTGGAAGATAGTGTTTAATTTTGGCGAGATTGACAAACACAACAATTCGTTTTTATTCTGTTACTAATATAAATTTAACAGATAATTGAGCTAGAAGAAATTTAGAAATTATCTAGATCAATTCTTTCATTTTAATTCTATATGAGATTAATTCCAAATTAAATGACTGGATTTATTTTACACAGAAGATTAGGGATTGATCTTGGATTTGATTTGGAGAATTCCTGATGTTGGGCCCAGGATCTTTTTCATTGTATCACATTACCTTTAAAATAAAATGCAACCTCAAATAAGTTGTATGTTTGGGCTCTCTATGGCTATGGTTTTCCAATGCTTCCCACAATATTTAGGAAGATATCAATCTATATTATAAGTATACATGGCAGCATTTCAAACAATTTGTAAGCAATAATTTTACTTGGATTCATCCCATTAGCCATATATATAAGGGAGGTTCCAGCTAAAGTTTCTTTGTCCCTCTTCAATTCTACCTTTCTTTTGTTTCTCTCTCTCTCTGTCTTTATGTTACTTTTTTATTTCTTAAGCAAGTAACTGGGGGGAGTGGGCTCACTTTTCACTTCTCTGTGGATTAAGACAGTGAGTCACTCTGTAAGGATTCTATAGAATTTGATTCAAAATATTTCCCACTCCTTTTACTTGATTGTCCTGCAGATAATGTAATAAAAAAGAAAATATAAAAAAGGCAAAGATTTGGTGGATCAGAAACTAGCATGCCTATGAATGTTTATCTAAGGCTACTGTGCATTTGTGACTAAGGGTTGCATATTTTAGCTCTATAGTTTTTGAGTAATTAAGCAATTTCCACAAATTGCTATTTCCTGATAAATAGGATAGACAAGTTTATTCATTTATTTATTTTACCATAATCACTGTGAAGAATACCCTAAATAATATAGTAGCCACTTTATGTAGCAACATAACTTTTAAGAAGTGGATGTATAAATACTGACAATATTAATAAAATGAGTGGCAAGAAAACTTGGTTCATATAATAAATTATTCCCAATTTCTTACTGATGTTTTAAAATAGTTACTTGCAGTTTCACTTAACTCCAAATGATGGAAGATAGTTATCACTGTCAATCAAATAGATTTTTCCTGTTTTCCCTCAGCATTTCTTACATTGGAAGGTTTTTACATTTGAATCAAAATTTCTAAAATTATTTAGTAGACAAAAAGTAAAAGTGTATTCACTTACGACCCTGATGCTTTCAAAATGTCCACCCTCTTTCTCAAAATTGATAGGCTGTCCTTTTAGTGTCCAGTAGAAATTAACATCCAAACTAGCATCATGAATCGCTTTGCAGTTGAGGACAATGCTTTCTCCCACTGTTAACTCCATTCTTTTAGGAGTAAGTTCTATCCTTGTAGGTTCTATAGAAGTAAAAATACATTAGTTAACATAATTGACATGTAGTAGGTCCCTGCATCATACATTAGTTTATGCAATAAAGAAAAACACAAACAGGGAGTCTTTACAACATAGTTGCTCTAAACACGCGTACATGATTCTTCACATATGTAAGTAAAATATTATCAAATACTAGTTTTTTTTGAATGTTGGTACATTTTCCTTTGCTTTTGCTGGGTATGAAAATGATCTAATGATTTAAGATTCCCTGTTCCAATGAAGATGTTAATTTGACTAAAAAGACTAGAGGCTACATAACTAGAAGGAATATTTGGCCTTCAGGAAGGAGAGAAATAAATAAAATAATTTAAAGCTTCCCTGTTCACCTTCAAGCATTATCAACTATAAATAAAAGGATTTTTACTATAAATAATGTTTCATCTTTCAGGAGGAAGAATTTCCTCCTGAAAACTTCAGAAGAAGTTTCCAAGAAAGAAAGTTCTTTCAGAAGAAAGAACTCAGGAGTTCTTCTCTTTAAGGACTTGAGGGTATTAGGAGGCACCAGAAAGCATGCCCAACCCCTGCAACTCCGTGAATATACAATATTAATAGAGGGAAAATATACTATGACTACTACTACAAATCACTTTGTATTTGCTTTACATTATAAGAAACTCTTTTATGAAATATTATCAGTTTGAAGTTAGAAGAGGCACTTTCTAGATTATCATAACGTATCACTGTTGAATTGAAAAAAGGTTAAGATATAAAAAGAGAGGCAAAATCACTGAAAATATTTTTGAGGGTAAAAATGTTTATGTTTAATTACTTAATATTTCAGTTTAGTTTTTTTTTTTTTTTAATACTCTCGTTGTTGGGTATAGAGCAAATTTGAACAAATAAAGTCTAATACAGGCTAAATAAATCTTAGGGTTACTTAAGCTAGTGAGCAAATGGCTACAGTATGAAGTTTATAAAGACAGTAGGGAGGTGATGGAGAAAGGATTTTGGCTTTATCTTTTTTTTTCGAATTCAATTTCTGATTGTAAATACTTTAAGAATCTTAACAGAAGTGGTTAACAATGAGGTGCATATTTCTACTCTAGCTCTATGGTTTGCAATAATTTAGTTTGCTGGAGCATTACTCCTAATAATTGATTATATCCTTTAATATCCAACGTTCTTCTAAATGGTAACTGAGAGCAGAGTGCAACCACAGGATAGGAATGCCAAAATGTAAATGTTAACATGCCAGAAGTCACATATTCTTTGTGGCATTCTAAGTCCTGGCTTCATCAGAGAAGACAGAAAACCACAGTACACTGTAGACTGAAGTTTGTGGGGATTGGAGTGTATTAGGCCACTACGTATTTAATTTACCTCATGATTAATAGAATATTCTTTTCCTAGTGTTAAGCTAACACATAAAACATTTGTAGAACAAGAATTGCCTCATTATGGAAAACATTGATTACCACACAGAAAAAAGTAAGAAAAAATAGAAGATTAGGTTGTATTACAAGCCATGTAATAGAAAAAAAATCTTTAAAATTATGTTTCTTATTTTCCTTAGTGTTTATACCTTGTTCATACATAAAGAGATTATATAAAATATCAGTGTGCTGGCTTTATTAATTACATTTTTTTAATTTATAAAGAAAAAGAAGATAATTTTTATGGCCAAAGAATTATTTGCTATATTGGACAAACATGAGCACAAAATGAAAAGACATAGTTCAGTTATGAAAAATATTCTTTTGCCAACTGAAGAAACTGGCTGCTTAGATATGAGATTTTGTTGCTGCTGAACTACAATACATAGTCTCAGAAGATTCTTCTAAGCTTGAAATCCAGTTTTCTTTAGAACTAAAAAGCTAACAGAAATATATAAGCAGTTAGATTTATTATACTGAAAATTAAAGTTATATAAATAATGCCATTGATACAGACATCAATGGCCACCTCTGGTATCAGATTATCTGAGGCATATCCCTCCAACCCATATTCCTATCATTCTTTCTCTACTTCCTTGTGACAAAAATCTCCAGTTGAAATGGTGACAAAGGAAAACTACTGACTGATGCTAAAATTTGTTTGGTAGAGGAAAAATAATTTCATATTCTTAGCATACATTTAGATTTTGAGGCACTGACTACAACATCAGAAACCTTTCTTTAATCTTTCACTTCAAATTTCTGCTAACAATATGGTCCTTCTAATGGATGGAAAAGAACAATTGGGCTGAGTTATTTTATCAACAAGCGTACACATACACACAAGCAAGTACATATGCATGCATGTTACATTTATTCTTGTTCCGAGAAAACTAGGAGAAAATTATGCTTTAAAAAGATTTTACCATATTTTCTTACCTTTTATAAATACAGATGCTATAATTTCAGCAGAACCAAAGACATTTTTCCCTTGGCAAATGTACTTTCCCTCATCAGATTTAGAAGCATTTAGGATTCGTAGACTCCCGTCTGGAAGAATAGCTATTCTGAAAATTATTAAAAAAGGATTTTTTTCCGTTTTACTGAAAGTCAACAAATGGTAAGAAACTGTGTGAAGTCTGAAACCACCTCCAAGACAATAAGAAATAAGATAAAGGACTATTGTGAAGACATGCAGTGGTTCTAGAGATGTTTTTATACTTCAAATTATGCAAGAAGCCCACAAACCATCTTCTTACATTCAAAAGGGTTATGAAGTTACAGGTTATTTTTCTTTTGGCACTTTCTGACAGCTAATTTTAAAACTTGTGGAAAAAGGTGACACTGCATTTTGTTATTAAAATTTGTTACTATAATATCGTCCAGTGGTATTTTAATATTAAGCTTGGGTATTTCACCTCAAACCAAGAGTGACCTCAAAAATCAAATATAAAAAGAAGCAGTATAAAGACATAGAAAAGGACAAGTAAAGAACATAAAATTAATTGTATACAGCCAAGAGATGATTTATGGTGGTTTCTCCACAGTGTCCACTGTGCACCCAGGGTATGAAAATGAGAACTGAAACCTGGAGTGCTCTAGCTACATATTTTTAAACTTAAGAACATCATATCTGAGTTTGCATTTGGGCTCTTTCATGACCTTTGTTAAAAGTGGACCTTGAGTCTTTTATGAAGATGAAAAATTAAAGCATTATTAAAATTTTTTAGAAGTTCAGTGAAAATGAGGTTGACATTAGGAATTACCGTATTCTCGTGTGTATTCATCATTCCAGGAATATACAAATTTCAAATTTAATCAGTACTTTTGTCCTTTTCTCCCTTCTATCCTCCTGAAATACAACCTAATATTTCACCAGTAAGTCAATACACTCAAGCAACCTGAAACATAGAAGAAGTGGCTGTGGTGGTTTCATTTGATATGCCAATAGAGTTTGAGCTGATGTCTTTTAGCAAAGAGGAATTAACAATAAGCTAACTTGACTAAATGGCTGACAGTTCAAAGCCACTAGCTGTTCCTCAGAAGGAAGGCTGAGCAATCTATTGCCCTAGTGATACCGCCTCAGAAACCCAAGGCGGTGTTGCTATGAGTTGGGTTCGACTTGACGGCACATAACAACAACAACAATTGGGTAAGAACCAGTGACCCCACAGATCTGAAAATCCTGAAATTCAATTCTCCTAGTCCTAAGAAGACTAGTTTACTACATGCCAATGTGAGAATAGTAAACTATTTAGGATATATGAATAATGTCTAATCTGTTTAGTGAACACCATTCATGTTATTTTAAAATGTGCATTCAGTCTTGACAATTACCCAGAATTGAACATTATTTAGAGCAATGAACTTCGTAACATCTCTTATTAGATTATAGGCCCCTGAAATACTGCTTATAAATTTATGCTTATATGTTGCCATCTTTAAAGATACCAGTTTTAAAACTAAAGCTTTCAATAGGTCTCTAGCTTGATTTAGAATATGTAAGAGAAAGGAAAAATTATAAACAAGCCAAATTATGTAACTAAGACTAGAACTAGCAAAGACTAGGATAGTAAACGATGTTTAGCGGAGATAGCACCATGAGACATTTGGAAAAGACAGTGAGGACAAAAGTTCCATAATCCACTCCAGGCTGTCAATGAAACAAATCTGTTCATTATTTTAGATAGTATTCATTTTCAATAAAAATTAGAATTTAATATATTTATACCACTTTGTTGCCCAAGCACACATTACAAAAATATTTATTTGAAAGTAAAGTTTATACTCTTTGTAAACAAATAGGCATTTTCCTGTGAAAATTATATATTTTTTTGAAATTTAGCTAGCTTACTAGAATTTTCACAACTTGTTAATATTTTGAAAATACCTGAATTTTATTAACCCAAGTAAATTCTAATCAAGCAGATGAGAAGTTTAGCTTAAAAGTTCACCTCCTTTGAAGAAATAAATGTATCTTAGACCCTGGCAGTATTTCAGCTCTTGATTTAAGATGAATCCCTTTTGGTTGGCAAGAGGCAACATATTATATTCTCCTTTTAAAGATACTTTATGAGCACTCCTGTACTTCAGGCCACTGATCCATTTGAGGGATAAAGAATTTTGAATACTACAATGTTTTTTATCTGTAAAATGGCAGTGCCATTTAATTGGAAATCTGCCTGTTGACTCAAATTGCAAATCCTTATCACATGAATGTATCTATTGTCATTATCATTATTATTTTAATTTAGAAAAGAAGAAAAGCAATTTAGCCAGTGGAAGTGTTTTACATTACAAAGTCTGGTCATTGCACACATACTTATTGTTGTTATTATGTGCTGTAAAGTTGGACTCGACTCATTGTCCAACCCTCCTTGGGTTTCTGAGGTGGTATCCCTATGGAAATAGATTGCCCAAACTTCCTTCCAAGGAGTAGCTGGTGGGTTTGAACAGCCAGCCTTCTGGTAAGCAGTAAAGTGCCTTGGGCACTACACTACCAGAGCTTCTTAGAAAATTGAATATTGAATTAATATTTCCTTTTGATTTGCAACTTCTTTATCTGTCTTCTCCATTTATCTGTTGTGGTGTAGTAAATTACTTAGTATGACTTTTCTACCCATAAGTCTTTGTAAACTCAAAGGGGGGATTTGCTATGAGCAACTGAGGAGCTCCTGATTGCTGAAGTTGTCCACCTGGAGTATTTCTGTTGGGAGTGGCACAAAGCAATGTTCTGGGAGGTTCCCACTCTCTCTTAGGTGCTTAGAGTTCTGATGTTATGATTGGCTAGTTTGGCCACTCTGCCAGGCTCAAAAGGAGGCCTCCTAGAGGCAGAACTCTCTCTCTGACTGCTGGTTGAGGAAGACATGCTGCTGAAAGAGATATGCACCCCTGAAAGAGACACATGTTGCTGGGAAAGAGACGCAAGAGACACGCATTGCTGAGTAAGACACTGAGGGACATGCACTGCTGGGGGAGATTGTGAGAGACTTGGCTGAGAGACGGTGGGCTGAGAGAGAGACTAAGTGTTTTTCCTGAATTTGAATTGTAGTCTGGTGCTTCCCTAATATACCTCATAATCTGTGAGTTCTGTGTGGCCACTGCAGCAAATTATCGAACCCAGGAGAGAGGTGGTGGTGCTCTGGGAGGAACAGTTGGTGAAAGCGCTGGAGGGAGGCAGCATGTCTGGCCTTGCAGTAATAGACTTTGGGATATTGATGGTGATTCTGTCCTCGTCTTGTGGGGTTAGAGGAGGTCAGAAGATGTGGCCTCCTTGTCCTTTTTGCATCTATTCACTGCATAGCTCCTATATTTTGGAATTTCCAGACCATGGAATTAAATCTGCTAAGAGGTAGCATAATGCCTAAGGCACTTGACTGCTAACCAGAAGGCTAGTGGTTCAAACCAACCAGCCACTTCTCGGAAGGAAGGTTGGACAATCTACTTCCATAGTGACACGTCCTCGGAAACCCAAGAAGGGATCACTATGAGTCGGTTCCGACTCGACGGCACCTAACAACAACAACAACAAGAGATTCTTGGAGGTGGAGTAGGGTGGTAAGGAAGTGATAAAGTGGAGGCTCATTGGGGTAGGAGGATTTTAGGAAATGCAAACCAGCATTTTAGCACTCAGAATCAAATCATGTTTGCTGTATTCAGGGCACTAGAATTCTCCATGAGTTTCTGCCTAGACCTAGTGATGTCTTGGTTGTCCTAGTTACTGGGCATCTGCCTCTAATTACTGGGAGTCTGCCTTGTTATTTGCCCAATGCAGAGACCATATAGGACGACATTCTCTTTACCCCTATTTCCCCGGTATTCACTGGTGACATCTTAATACCTATCTTGACTTCCAAATTTCAGCAACATTTTCTGGATCCTCCATTATCATGCTTGGCTCACCTATCAGACACTATAAGAACCTAGCTTAGATCTTCCAAGTAGACTGCATGCCTGGGAGTGCTGCCTACTATCTGCTGTCAGATTATTTATAGATAATTCTCTAATTTCCAGATTAGATTTCTTTCTGGTATCATATCATCCCTGTCAATTAAGAAATTATGCTTTAAGGTGAAAAAGAGTTGGGTTCAAATCCATGTCAGTGACTAACATATGCATGATCTTGAACAAGTTATCCCTTCTCTTATATATAAAACTGCCATAATAATACCAAACTAGTTATTTGCAACATTGCAAAGAATGAGAATTCCAGAACACTTAATTTTGTTCATGAGGAACCTGTACATCGACCAAGAGGGTGTAGTTCACACAGAATAAAGAAATACTGCACACTGTAAAATCAGGAAGGCCATATGTCAGGGTTGTATCATTTCACCATATATATTCAATTTGTACACTGAGCAAATAATCCAAGAAACTGACTACACAAAGAAGAATATGGTATTGGGACTGGACAAAGACTCATTAATAACCTGTGATATGCAGATGACAACCTTACTTGCTGAAAGTGAAGAAGGCTTGAAGCACTTACTGATGAAGATCAAAGACTACAGTCTTCAATATGGATTACACATAAACAAAAAGAAAAAAAAAATCCTCACAACTGGACCAATATGCAACATCAAATGGAGAAAGACTGAAGTCATCAAGAATTTCATTTTACTTGTATCCACAATCAACATTCATGGAAACAGCACTCAAGAAATCAGAAGTCTTATTGTTCTGGCAAATCTGCTTCAAAAGATGTTTTTAAAATGTTGAAGAGCAAATATGTCACTTTAAAAACTAAGGCAAACCTAACCCAACCCATGGTATTTTAAATTGCCTCATGAATGTGAAAGCTGGACAATGAAAATAGAAGACAGAAAAAGAATTGAATTGTGGTGTAGGTGAAGAACACTGAAAATACCATGGACTGTCTAAAGAATGAAAAAAGCTGTCCTGGAAGAAGTGCAGCCAGCAAGCTCCTTAGAAGCAAAAATGGCTAGAGTTCATCTCACTTACTTTGGTCATGTTGTCAGAGGGACAAGTTTCTAGAGAAGAATATCATGCTTGGGAAAGAGGAACATCAGAGAGAAAGGTTTAAATCTTCCATGAGATGGATTGA